CGATACCTGTCAGAATGCAGGGTTTCTATTTGATGGAAGACCAGCAAGACCGTGCTGTCGTTCAGAAAGGAAGACCTTCACGACATAGGCAATTATCGCCCAATATGCTTACTGTCCGTTGTGTATAAAACTTCACTCGAGTTATCCTATACAGGGTTGACAGAACAGTGGACGGAGGACAGCTATGCGAACAAGCAGGGTACCGAAAATGATTTAGTACCATGGACCACATCCACGCGATTACAAACTCTTTGAGGTTTTACGAGTGTACATACAACCACTCTGTCTCACTTTCATCGATCTGAAGAAAGGTTTTGATTCAGTGGAAACAGAAGGGGCTACAGAAGTACTGGATAATCAGGACGTCTCTACTTGGTACATAATGATCCATCGTGTGCTATGTAAAGATTTCATCACCAGAATATCTCCATTACACAACAATATCACCATTAATGTAAGAAGGGGCTCGACAAGGCCATACAATTTTCCCAAAATTATTTTCTGCGACCCTCCAAAACGTCATGCGAACATTAGAATGGGGAGATATGATAGCAAAAATTGACGGTCAGCAATTGAACCATCTTTGCTTTGCTGATGATATCGGTCTCAAAACACCAAACATCAGTCAAGGCATCGAGGTTCGATATGGCTCTTCACTAGAGTTTCATTAGTAATTAGATAGCTCAAATCTCGATAATTATGGTGATATTCTCGGTTTCTCATAGGATCATCAGAGAATGCTGCAAGAGAGAAAAATGTTCACATTTCACGCCTAAAAGTGTCACCACTCCACTTGGTCGCCATGGGTGCTTTATTAGTAATTACATTTGAAGTTTATAGGTTAAAGGTATTTTATCGTTACATAGAGAATGAAATATTACAAATGAGCCTTTTACAAGGATTCTTAATTACAATGAGTTTCAATTCTTCTGAAATCTTTCATTTTTGAGCGGTAATACCACGTCCTTGTAAAAGAAATCCCAACCCCTATTGTGCATTTTTATCGCCCGCTTGCGAGAACGTGGTTTAAAAGCACATCTTTTACAATTGAACTTTTCTAATAGGGGTCTATGTGGAGGCAATTCTAAATGTAACTCGAGTAAGTGTAGGAAGAGCGCGCGTTCAATCATTGCGTGTGATACTGTACTTCTCCTAACATCACAAATATTCAAAAAAGAGCAGTATTGTTCGCTGTATTAGACATTTCAGTAGCTATTCGATAACTTAGGTCTCCAAAATGTGAAAGATGTAAATTAAGTCCTCGGACGATCTTTATGTTACACTGTAACAGCTAAAAAAAATGTTATTAAACACTTAAGCATCTTTCGATAAAAATGGCCTTTCCTCAAAACTACATCAATTCTTCGAGAACACAAATTTCGGTAAGTTTAAAACTGTTTCTGGTTCTCCAATAAATCTCTTTATTGCGCTGTAACACTAGAATTGGATTGCATTTGACATGCGGGGCTTAGGCCTTCCAACCGTATGTGCATGTATATTGCAAAATGGCATCAAGCCGTCGCCGTCCAACAACTAGTCGATAGCTCAGGTCTCGAGGATTTCAATAATTGCTCATTTTTGAGAAAAGTCTCTTTGCGAGCTGTATCAGCAAGAATAAAACTGTGTTGCACTCTTAAATATCTCGCTGGACACGGCTTTTCTCTCAGGCCTTTCACAACCCAATCAATAGCGCAAATATTATAAATTCAAATACGCTTAATTTTGGGGCAGACTCCTTAGTGCTTCGTTAGTACAGCAAAAAGAATATTGAGTTTTACACTAGGCTCGCACTGCACGCCTACATATGATTTGCGCTGTGGAATGAACAAGGCGCCGAGTGTTAAACTAAATAATCTTTCAGCCGTAACAACGCATTAATAAGACGTCCTTTTTAAAAACCAAGCTTCTCATTGAGATCGTTGAGATTTGTCTATCGAGTCATTATTGAAAGTCTAATGAAAATCCTCTGTTCAGAGAAAGATGATTAAGTGTGAAAGAAAATGTGGTACTTATATGTTAGATGGCAACATATCTCTGAGCCAATCTGATTTGCTGGGCAAGAATTTATTATAGGAGTGTATATCGTAAGCATAAATCTCTAGCTACAACTGCGTGTTACCGGTTTTTCAAAACACCCTTTCACGGTGCTGTAACATCCAGAATAAAATTTTCTTTGCAATCGCTTTTCGTCTGTATTTCTGCCACAAGTAGTAGTAGTTTTCTACAAAGTTTCTGTCGATGCAGTGAAAAATTCCTCAATAAAGTAACACTTAAGTTGCCACCGTGTTGATTCATAGAAAGATTGATCAGGCGATTATCTTACTAAAAATCCGTTGAAGTGGCTTTGCTTCTCATTTTGCTCAGCTATAAACCTTTTCCGGCGAACTTTGCTTAGCGGTAAACTCACGGAGCACGGAAGCAGCGACAGCTCGACGTTTGACATATTGTTATTTATTCAACTGGCGATTTTTGCACCACACCATAGAAACCTCAGACGAAAACGCAGAATCTGATGCTACGGAAAAATTTCTACACGCTGATATCTTTTGGGCTTCCAGCGATTTATACGCGTGGTAAAATTTGAGACAAAATGAGTAAGAAACAAAATTTTATACTGGATGTTACAGGGTTATTAAAGAGTGTTATAGATAAGCAGCGATGCGAAATTCTAGCCAGAAACTTAGGCTATCAAACAATTACTAACGCTTCTGTGAAAAGTTCTTGCCCAGCAAACTAGATTGGCTCTAAAATCGATCGTCATCTAACATATAAGTACCCAATTTTTGCTTCACCTCTACAGTATAATATGAAAGCAACTTGAGCAATAAAACACACTCTTCAGATTCTCGATTCAAGCCGTCCAATAATTACTAAAACCCCAAAAAGGATAAAAAAAACCTTTTTTATATGGGTACGGATAGGGAAAAGTACCGAGAATACTTCTCCGGAGACACATATTTCTGACCAATAGTTTGCATAATGTTTAATTCGAACAGTTTTTTTTTCACTTACGTCAACTCTAAATAATTGAAAATAAATGAATTGTTTGATATAAACAGAGTTACCGTGAGAGTTTTCAGAGAGCACGTATCGAATACAGCATGCATAATAATTTAAAATAATTTTCTAGCTGTTTTCCAATTTCTATCTACCATGATGACTCTTGGATCATGTACGAAATTAGAGAAGAGAAAAACTAAGCTTGTGATCCCTTGTACAATGCAATACAAGTGATTGATTGCGAAATTCAGTACGATTGCATAGTAAAAGAGAGTTTTTCTCCACAGAAGGCTCGTATAACTAAACCAAAAGCATATGGACGAGTAGAGAAAACCTTGTTTAATCGAGGTGATACAGGGATCCCAAGTATTCTCGCCGAATTAAGAAAAAAAAACTTCAGTCAAACAACGAAAATTGAGCAATTAGATCTGCGCGCATCGATTTCTTTGCCGTCTGTTAGGGGTAAAATGAATATATTGTCATCTTCTCTTCAAAAAATGTGATGGACAGCTGTTTTCTCACTAATAATTGTTAGTTAGAATGTATTATTACACTAGGGAAAAGTAAATCAAAGTGGCTTCTATTCTGGCCGTTGGAATTCGGCTTTCCTGAAGCGACTGTACGAAAATTTTGCTTCGAAAGTCAAGCAATAAGAACATTTTAGTATACTACTTTCTTTCTTATTCCTCACACCCACAGAAAAGTATTTGACTGGAACACTAATCGATTATCTGGTAAGGACATAACATTTCTGAGCCCTAAGTCTAAGTTGAGGTCTAAGTGCTAGACCACCGCCTGTTCCATCCTACGAGGCCTCTTCAGTAGCACAGCCCCTCGGCTCAGCCGATCCCTTGGAGCTAAAGTCCTCCATAAAGAGTCAATGCCGAATAATAAATCACACAAGTTAGGAAGATGAATCACACCTCTCAATTCGACTAAAATATTTTTGAAACAAAAAAATAAAAAATGAAAAAAGCGGTCGAATGGAGAGTTACAATTCATTCCGATAGCCACAAGTTCGGCTGCTGGTCCCCGAAATTTCGGGGGCTTCTTTCACCTGATTTGCAATAATTTATACTCGGCGTCGACTTTTCCATAGAGAACTATAGCTTCAAGAAACCGACTGAACCGAACGACTGTGTTACTGAGGAGTCCTTGAGAACGAAACAATCCCATTTATTTGATATTTACCTGCAAATACCCTCTAAGTGTAATGGGGTATAGATGAGTGGATTTCTGTAGAAAAAAAATGAAAATTAGAATAGTCTAAATTACGTGAACCACCCTTATTTTCCCATTGGAGATTTCATTTTCAAGAAAGTCCTTAAAAAATTCTGTGCGTTCAAGAATAAAAGTGTTTACACCATAAAAATTCGAGAAAAAAAAAACCAAACATAATGCTGCTTTCCGAGAAATGACCATTTCCAGAGATATGAAACTGAATGGATATCGTTAAGAAACAAACTATGTTCTCTTGAAACCTTTTTCTTCCTTTTAAGGGGCATCTTGATCTTAAGCCCTTCCACTATCACAGAGTTGAATCAACATACGAAGATATCCCGGTTTTCAGTTCCAGTGCTTTAACATTAGATCTGGTTTCCATGAAGATGTTTTTCTCACCTATTGTAGAAACTGATCAACAAAAGCAAAGAAAAGGAGTGAAAGCAGTCAGTTTTTTTGCAAAGTTGTAGGATTCTCAAATTATTCAGGATGTCTCCTGATAGCTTCGTCTTCACAGAAGTAAGCGTCTTCACGTGGTTTGAAAATAAAAAGTGATCGTATTTCATGTTCACGTCCCACCTCATAATGTCTTCTGGGATGGCCGCTTTGAACCGCTGTCTTATGAATGATGAGGAAGTTTAACATAAAGAGCTGGTACACGATGAACAGTGTTGAAGACAATGATTCACAATTCGAAAACGAGGCTTTCATGGACAGTCTAGTGAAAGGAAATATATGAATGAATATTTCCACAAAAGAATGAGTGGTGAGCTAAAAACAGATTCAGCCAAGAATCGAACCCGCGTTTCATTCATACCGGGGACGCGTGCTCTACCACTACACCACCGATTCACCCTTGCTCCACCACTCATTCTTCGCACGCTTCCCAGGTATGGATGAAACGTGGGTTCGATTCCAGCTGAAGCCGTTTTTCGCTTACCACTCAATTTCTTAAATATATTTGAAATATAATAACACTGCGAAAAATGCAGCAAAATACTAGGAATTTCTAATAAATATATCATCAACTATAAGACCTAGCTATATTTCGCCTTGCGAAGTCTCAACATTCCGCGTCCGCCTCATCCCCATTATGTAACATGACTGGTGAAGCACGTGACACTGGGCAGCGAGCGAAATCGGCTATATGTACATATGCCACTGACGTAACAGAGTTCGATAAAGCTAAAAGTTACAAAGAATGCACTGACGTATTGAGGCATTGTAAGAATTGACTCGTGTAAACTGTTGCCTCGTTGATCGCTGAATTACCCACGCCAGCGGCACTAAAGCTTCTATTCTCATCCTATAGCGTGCAGGAGTGACACAATAAGTACTCCACGCGTTGTCCACGATTAGCACCAAGCCATTGCTTATATCTCTAGGTTGGAAGCTCCAGTTTTGTTTTCAAATATCTTGCATTACTCTCCTTTCGATACATAAATGATTTCTGGTCAGCTGCTTTTCACAAATGGACGCGGACATGTTTTGTACTGTTGAATGAATAAGAGTATCTTAAATTTACGCGAGGAAGACCTATGGTGACTTTCATTCCTGAAACTACACTTGTACGAAAGTTGACATGTTACAAAATGGTATTGAAGGATAACCTACAAACACATGCAAATGCACTACCTCTTTCCTCATCCCTCACACACAATAAAATTATTTGTTCAAACATGTGTCAAGCAGCTACAAATTTTTTGTACGGAAAGAGAACAGAAAGGAGTCACTGCGTTCGACACAAGAAAAATCTGATATGATTTCATCTCAAATGACTGCGAAAGAACAGTCACGAAGGCGGATTAGAGGATAATTAGTTTCGCGAAAACATTGCTATGCCAGCTCCTAACGGTGAATATCTCTGGCCCTTTTGGTATGAATTCATTGTTTAGATTGGTATGTATCTCTGATACACTGCGCTTTTCTTGGTTTCTACGCTTAACACAGATTTCACCAAAATTTCGCAAGCTAATCGAATGCTCTATTTTGTAAAGGACTTTACGGTATCTTTTGTTAACGAAAAGAACATTGTACCCTCCTTTAGGAGTACTGAGCCCCTTTGGCATTTACTACAAGTTTTGCAGGCATTTTACAGTAAACTATATTCTAGAGACACCTTATTCCCACGAGAAAGCAGCGTACCACTGGAAAGACTTCTGCAATGTACTTTTTGTTAAAGCAAGCTCTTTCATTGACAGTTTTTCTTATATATATATATATATATATATATGTAGATATATATACTTATGTATGTATATACATGCATATATATACATCTATATGCGTGAATATCTATATATATATATATATATTATATAATATATATATATATATATATAGTTCATTAATCTCACTTTAATAATATCTGTTGAATAGTAGAAATGGCGGGTGTTAACTCGCCATTACTGGAGAAAAGGTTCAACGATTAACGCAATGACGGAAAAGTACCAGAAATGTTATCAGACTATCAGACTGTTATTGTTTTAAAAGAGATTTATGAGATAGTTGAAAAATGGCATGATTCATTTTACAGCCACGGCCGCCCGACAGTTGGTCACTGCAATGTCGAGTGAATTGATCACTGGAAATGCTATGGCTTGGATAATTCACCTTCGAATCCTTCATAAACAGGGGGTACATCCCTTGCAAGGGATTGGCTGAACGAAAGGCATCGTGCTACTGATGAGCCTGTATTGGCAAAACACGTGTCCAGCATTGTATATGCACCATACCAAACTTCCCAAATAGGCCCGAAATTGTCAGATTATCACACTATTATCTTTTTGAGCGGGGGCTATGTAACCAAGAGGAAGTAAAGGTATCCAACTCTTCATCCCTTGACATACTGTGACTGCAAATATCTCAGATTATACCACGAAATGGCTTGGCCTATAGAAGGGGAACTACTGGCATTTGTAGAAGTGTAAAAAAAATACTTATTAGAAATAGGCGGACGGAACAGGAGCTCTTTGGTATACTGATGGGACGCCGCTACCAGTGCGCGTTGTTACACCACGATATTTGGAAATGTGGAAACTGACAATGTTGAGAAAATTGATTTAGGATATTTATGCAAATAAATAGATGCTCACAGCATGTAAAAATAGTGCGTATGTCCAAGTAAATCGAATTAAACGTATATTCAGTGCGAAAAGCCACCAAAAAATAGTGTTCTTAATACATAAATCATAGTTAGTTAGAAGTAATAATACACAAAAAACGACATAACTAAGTTTCCTCTGTGATTAAAGGTCCCAAATTTTGAAATATCCTTGACACTCCTACTTTATTGACCAATCTTCACGGTGTTGATTCTTTTCGATTATCCAAAGACAAATGAATATTCGACCTCGTTCGGTGGGCAAGAATTTTTATAACAGTGTTAATGATTGTTTGAAAGATTTAATCATTGGCTGCAGCTCTAAATAGTCACTTTTCAAAAGGACCCTTTTGCAAGGCTCTGGCATATAATATAAGGTAATATTTCTCACCCGTCTCGCGCCTTGATTTTTACCACTCGTATAATTTACTAGAAGCACGAAAAGTATATGAACTTGTTGAGAAAGTCTTTAGTATCCGAGTTAGTCGTTTTATCTAAAGCTTTCTCGAACGGGTTTCATAATTTTTCAATCAAATAACAAGTTACACCTCAGATGTCTAACGCAACAGGCCATCAATCAATCACTCACCCCCAGCCCGTAGATTTCCCGGTAAACAAGCCCACCGAATATGTGAAAATCGATCTTATTTTCCATGCTACACTGCAGAAAAGGTCATTCTAGAAAATAGATAGCGTTGGAATTACTAAAACACACACTATCTAATAATTATTATTAAACTGAAAAAATAGATCTGTCCGACGAGGTGTATACACAAATATTGTCTTCCTCCTGCAGCGCTGGCAAAAGAGCGTTTTTAAAGCAAACACATTTATGAGTTCTTGGAGACTTCTGCTATCGAAAGAATACTGGCACTCTGAAAAAAGGGTTTTGTACAGCAAATATAAGCGAGATAGAAAAAACACGTGGTGCATGTGAAACACAATTTTTAACCTGATGCTACGGCACTGTAAAAAGAATTTTCAGAAAACGGCTTATGTACAGCAATAGCCAGTGATTTGAGCCTTCGAATAGTTGCTGACGTGCCCATGAAAATTCTTGTCCAGCGAATAAGGTCGAATATTCATTTATCTCCTGATGAACGAAAATATTAGGATTTTTTCCACTCTGCAGATCCCAGCACTTTTAAAATTTAGTTCGTTTCCTCATCTTTATTTTGATTGTCGTAGAATACTGATCAAATCTCGAGGGCAGCCTGGCTGTGACGCTCCACAAGGCGTTTCTATTAAATGCCGGGGAGAGTTGGGGGTGGAGCTCCTCTCCATAAACCTAATATATCGTTTTTTTTTCTACTCCAATCACTATAACAGCTTTTGGGCATGACGTGGAGTGACTTACGTCAGAAGTTGACGATTCATTTTGTAATATTGAGTTCAGAAGTACAAATTGATTGAACAGTTGATTATCAAATGATTATATATTTAGTTATGTTTGAAGGCGTTGATTCAAGTTTTGAAAGTTAATCAATATCTTGAAAAATGGCTATTCTAACAACTTCTCTAATATTATTGAAATAATTTTTCCGTGTGTTGCAGCAACAGTAAAAGATCGTGTTTCACACTCCGACTATTTAGCAAGTCGCATAAGCTTTGCAGCGGAATACTCTCACATATATCGTAAAGTTCAAACGTTTTAGACAAATTATGGGTCAGAAAAAATTAAATCTTATCAAACTCCTCATAAAGGTCTGTCTTAGCAAAAAATACACCCAAATGTCCTAATTTTCAAATACGAAGGTTTTAGCATTGGGAACTAACGCACTTCCATTCTCATCCATCACTTTTGAAGATATTGCGAGGACGTTTCTTAAAATAACATTTCCACAACGTATGACTTTCAGCACGCAGTTTTTCAGCGCATTTCTAGTTAGTTGTGGAGACAAAACTTCGCTTTTGTTAGGAGCGAATGATTAGCGTTTTTTGCACGTGTGCGTGTAATATAAAAGCGTATTTTGCACTCACGTTTGCTTGGCTTTATCGCCACACAAAACTTTCACTCTAAAATTCAGTAACACTTGATAGGCTGTACGCAATTCTACTCGGAATTGTGTTTTTAAGCAAAAGTTTTATTGCTTTGTAGTAACGACGGAAAGAAATTGTCTTTCGCGCTTCTCAATAGGGACGCAGTGTATCAACAGTGATACACTAGGTTCCCGTAGTGTTTTAGTCGGCTACAGATTTTCAAGGGATTGTGAGTAGACTGTGAGTATTCATCGATAACTAAAAAAACTGTGACTGGATTACTAGGCTTGATTTCTGGAAAGGGTTTTTGAAGCGCTATAGCGACAGGAAGAAAACTACGACTTGAGCGCATGGAGTGTTTTGCATTCTCGTATGCGTAGCTTTTCGCCATATAGAGCGTCTTTACTGAAATTTTAAGAATTTCGATATTCCTGGTAATTATTTTGATCCATGCATGTGGTCGTTGTGACCACATGTACAGTGAATTTCTCGTGTTTTGACTTTTCAGCATCGTCATTTGCACGGTGCCTTTCGTCTGTGCCAATCTCTTTTGAGCGAGAACCCCCTTATAGACCGCATGCATGGCTCAAAATTGATTATCAGGCATAATGGAATTTTAAGCATAATGGAATTTTTTTTTTGGCCTTAAGAAACACAAGAAACGAATGTCATGACATTTCATAGTTACCAGCTAAGCAATCGAGTGTACAACACCGTCCTTCCTGTGATTTCAGTCACTTGGAGGCTTGTGTAAATATTACGTCTGTGG